AGAGAGAGAGAGAGAGAGAGAGAGAGAGAGAGAGAGAGAGAGAGAGAGAGAGACCGAGACCAACACGGAGCATCCCTAAACCTATTCACATGCAAGAGCATGCTCCTTACAGGAAGACTGCTCCAATTTCTTCTGCCTGCAGAAGCTAACATTCTTACCCGTCTGATAGGAGAAAGTCAAATTCAGAATTTCTCTCTGCCACCCCTTTCTATTATGCGGACTCCTCAAAAAGACCAATATCTATAGCTAGGGCTAGCCGTTCGACAAAGACAACACTCCCTAGGCAAAAAGGCTTTCTTTAGATTGGTGTGAAGATGTGATGGTTCCTTATGAGCAAAATGGGGGCGCGGAGGGAGACCCTAAGACTCAAGGTTTAGGTTGAGGGGACTGTGCTGAGAGGCAAAACGCATAACCAGAACTGGCGCGTGTCTGGAATCCCTGCACTCAAGAGGCTGAGTCGGAAGGACCATGGTTTGAGGTCAGTCTAGGCTATCTATAAACTGTTTCAGAAATCCCATAAATAAATGAATTTTTAAAATATGCATATCCCTATGATTTCTGTTGAGATGTGAGAGATCTGTGTAGATCAGATGCCCTGGAGCTTCATTTTTTTTAGCTGTTGCGGCAGATGAAGGAATCAGGTGTGCCCTGCAAGAGACGCTGCTGCAATGCTAAGGCCTGACTGAACTGGACAGCCAACTCCTCCTCGGAGAAATTTAGCAAACATTGATGGGGATAAACAGGCTTTTCTTGCTCTCACGGTGTTTTTCTTAACTCTTCGATTAGGTCTTCACCAAGACCTGACAGACAGGTCCTGAGCTTCCATGACACAGAGACACCTGACTCCTTGGTATCAGTCTAGGAGGTCCCTCACTTCCTGGGGACCAGTTAATAAGGCTTCTCCCTCTATAAACAAGCCACTTGGATTAAGAAAAGCACTCCTAAGCACCTGTTACCATTCCCATCCCCGTGTTCCCTTCCCATGCCCACATCCAAGTGTGTAAGCCTCAGAACCACACGACTGCAGAGAGTTGCAAGGTAAAACTGATTTTTTTTTTTAAATCCTAATAGGCAGATAGTTAATCTCCACTTCCCTCCCATCACTGACTAGTGTCGCTTGTGTTTTGATGTTCTGGACATGATAGCATTCACCTTGTCTTCTTTCTGTTGAAGAAGCTGCCAGATCCTAGGGAGGAGGAGGACAGGGAAGGAGGAAGCATTTGAAAGTCTCCCGGAAAACAAACTACAAAGCTAACAACCTCTGATGCAAATTGGGGTTCTGTCAGCCTGCCTGCAGTATCCCGAGCACTAAATCAACACCCCAGGTTTCTATTCGGAATGTTAGACCAGTCTGTCTATCCTGTCACAACAGAGTATAAAGATTTCCGGTAACCTAGCTTCTCCCATACATACATGTGTGGCTCTGAGGTAAACCAGTGCCATGAAGCATTTAGTGATTAGACAGAAGCCATGAAGCAATGAGAGATCCTCAACCCCCAGGCAGGGTATGCTGATAGCCGCTCTGTTCAACAAGCTAGAGAATGGAAAGCCACCCAAGAAGTGTTCTTGCTGCTTCTAGATCTTTCTTTCCCCACTCATATGAAAAAAAGTCCTTTTTTTTTTTTTTGAAGTTTGCAATACCTTTCTTCTTTCCTTATGTCTTCTTTTACCAAATTCCAGGACACTGAATGTTTACCAAGAATGTCAGCACCTGAAGTAGTCAGTCAGTCCTCCAGATCCACCCAGAATTCTCATCATCCTTCCTCTTTAGGTATTCATGATTCAGGTAGGTGATGCATCCACCCTCCCAGTTCATTAACTTCCTCCACTCAAGGGCAGATCTTGAAACTAAATTCCCTCAGAAGCTCCCAAATCTATTTTTGGTTCACCTCCAGCGTGGACTGGAGATGAAATAGCAACTCCTGCCTAAGTCAGAGATATTCTTGTCAATTCTATAAAAGAGTAACAATTAGTGAGGAGTGGAAAGCTAAGGAGTCAGGAGGTAGACTATGTATATCACATTTGTCTCTCCCCTCCTGCCAAAATCTCAGGTGGATTCTTAGGCCTGTGACTATAAACTGAGGTTTTACCATGGGGCCATCTAATCACGGACTTTTCCCTTCCATGTATCTATGCTCCTCCCAGTCATATAGATCCTCTCAATTTTCCCCTTTGTAATTTTCAAAGGTCCCAATCTTCATACGAAAACCTACTACTCAGTCTATCCTCAAAACAAGCCTATCGTGGTGACAACCGGCTAGAACAAACAGATGTAAACTCCCGATTTCAACCATCCCATAAGGTGTTATCTTTTAGGAAGCCTTAATAGACTGCCTAGGGCAATACTATAAACAGACTTAAACCAATAATTTGTGAAAAGATTAAGAGGCTATGGCCAACAGAAATCACCCTGCCTTACCTGACGTTTGCTACTTCTGGGGTTCTTCTCTCCTGAGGACTGTTTCCATTTATGATTCCCCTTAAATAGCTTCCTTTAGTTCCAAGCTACAGGGCAGATATGTTGGCCACAAGTTCTTACATTGTATATAAAATGTAGATGTTATTTGCTTTCATATTTGAATGTAAATTAACATCCACTGGATGTCAGATACTGAGTTAAGACCGGTGAGATGGCACAGGGGATGAAGGCACCACTGCCATGCCAGATGACTTAAGTGTGCTCTCTGGGCCCAGCAGGTAGAAGGAGAAAATCACCTCCTACGAGCTGTCCTCTAACTTCTACATATGCCCCATGGCATGTACATGTTCGTGTATAATAAGCACATTCAAAATACAATATAAAAGTTCTGGGTTCTATGTTTTACTTGTTTTCTCTCAATATTTTAATGATGATTTTCAATTCTCGTCTAGTCTCATAGTGTCTCTTGAGAAGTGAGCTGTTGATCAGATATGTCTATTATCGTCATACATCATTTTCTTCACCGCTTTCAAGACTTGCGTTGTATCTCTGCTTTCAGCAATTTGACTATGACATACACCAACATGGACTTTCTGCTTTACAGCTTTATGAATCTCAAGTCTGCAGATATCTGTCTTTTGTTGAAATATTTTAAATATCTGTCATCATTCCTTCAGATACCTTTTTCTGCTCCACTTTCCTCCTTCTGACGTGTATATTTAACTGTTCGTTGTCCTCCGGAGTTCTTGTTAGGTATACCCCAACAGTGTAGCAATGTTCCACTACAGAACACCGAAACCCTGGCTCTACCCTCCCCTGCGCACAGGACATTTGGAGCTATGGGTACTGAGAAATGCTCTTTTAAAAGTTGTGCTTCTTTGACCTTTGGTAAGAGCTTGTTTGTGTCTACTGTTAGCCAGGGCATCTATTCTAGTGTCTTATATAAAAAAAAGGAACATCATAATTTCTCACTCCTTTGTTCACATTCTCTCTCTCTCTCTCTCTCTCTCTCTCTCTCTCTCTCTCTCTCTTCTGAGAAATGGGTGAAAATTAAAGTTTTCCCTTTCTGGGTTTCTTTTTCCTTTCAAAACTTAGAACAAACTACTAACAATAGTGGTTAATGCCTGGATATCTAAAGTTAAGTCAATCTGGGAAACAGTTTGAGACTGCCCTAGTATTTTATCATCAGGATCATATACTGATGAAAAGTAGGCCAGCATAGGTGTTCCAGGCCCAAGGAGAGGTCTAGGCCTTCATATGCCATGTCTTTGTCAAGCCACTAATTGAATCGTTTTCTTTCACAAAGTTAAAATTTATTAAGAACCTCACAGGTTCTTAGTTCAGAATCATGATCAATGGGTCAAACCGGTCCTTGGGTTTTCTTCTCTGTTCTTCAACCTCACAAATCCTTTTCTAGAATATGGTGCAGAGCAGAGACAGAGAAGTGGAAATAAGAATAACTCGGGGAAAGAGGTAGGAAGGGAAACTTCCCACTCTAGCATGGGAGAAATATTTCCACTTCCAGGTCACTGGTGTCGTGTATAACTAAGACTGTGGCTTGAAGCCGGAAGGTACTGGAGAGGCAGTGCCAGGCAAACTGGGGAGGGAAGTCAGCCCAGACTTGGTTCTCTGCCAGCACTGCAGGGTGGAGTCAAAGGCCTGCTTCCTAAGGCCTGAAAGCCCTGGGCAGGATGTGCTCATTCATGGCTGAAGCACCAGGGGCTTCCAGTCTGGCAGGTGTAGCTCAGCAAATGGGAATCCAGTCTGCATTCAGGAGTCAGACATGCTTCCTGTCTGCCATGTATCCCCAGCTGTTTGCTTATGTCATTGTTACTGTCTGCAGACAAACCAGATACTAGTTCACCACTTGTAATAATCTAACTAATAATATAGTCTTTTGCGCTGAACAGAGAGCTTTTAATTTTTACCTTTCTATTTTTAAATTTTTGTAGTGCTGCAAATGGAACCCAGGGTCTTAGGCATGTTAAACATGTGTTGTATCATGGAGCTGTACTCTTAGCCCCTAATTTATAAAAATTTTTCTTAATTCTTGCAACAAATTTGAAAATCGAATATCTGTTTGTGATCAGCTAACTTTGATTGTCATGAGAAAAGGAGGTAAAAATCAGACTTGACCTTATGTTTGGGGATTTTCTCATGCATAGTTTTGATTTTCATTTGCCCCTTTACCTAAAAAAAATTGTAAGCAAGCCTTGCTATCGCAGAAGAGTAACAAGTTTCCTTTAAAGCAGACACTATATCAGATCTTTTGGTACTCCTTGACCCAGAATGGCTAAACGTTTGTTTCTGGTGTTAGCATTTCTTTTTTCAAAATAAGACAATGCCTTGAGATGAATCTTAAAAAAAAAATTATTACTATAACATGCCTGTAATCCCAACTACTTGGGAAGCTGAAGCTGAAGCTTCACAGATTTAAGGCTTGTTTGGGCGACACAGTGGGTTTAAGGCCAGCCTGAGTAATGTAGCAGGATTCCACAGAAGGAATTGGGGGGAGAATGGAAGAAAGAGAGGGGGAAGACAAAGAAGGAAGAGGGGTGAAGTGGGAGGAAGATGGGAGGAAAGAGGTAAGGGCAGAAAAGGGAAGAAGGGTGACAAATGTTATTACTGGCTCTTTGAAGATTGAGGCAAGACGATCACAAGTTTGGGGCCAGCCTTGGCTACACAGCAAGACACTATCAGGAAGGAAGGAGAGAAAGTGAGGGAATAAATCCAAACCAGGAGTGGTTATGGGCAGATACAGAGTAGCCCTAACACTCACATCATGCCAAGGGAAGCCACAGGTAAATGGGGAGAGGGTGCGTTTTGATATTCTAAAAAATGATGTGCCTTTAGACTTGCCCTGTCTTGTCTTAACTTATGAAAACAAAATCCAGACTATGAAATTATAGCCCAAAGTAGAATCAGCAACATGAAACTCGTCAACATCCTCACCCCACTGGGGAAGAGCAGCTAGCTCAGGAGTTCTCTGCTGTGGACTCTGGAGGAGAAGTCCTGCTATGTGTTGCTTTTACTGGTTAATGAATAATGCTGTTTAGGCCAGTGGCTTAGCAGAATAGAGCTAGATGGGAGAAAGAAGGTAGAGTCAGGGAGAAGCCATGTAGCCACCGCCAGAGACAGAGACACACCAGAACCTTGCAGGTAAAACACAGACATGTGGCAATATACAAATTAATAGAAATGGGTTAACCAAAGATATAAGAGCTAGCTAGCAATATGCTTAAGATATTGGCCAAATAATATTGCAAATAATATGGTTTCTGAGTGATTATTTCAGGTCTGGGCAGCTGAGAACAAATGAGCAGCTTTCCCCAACAGGACTCTGGTGGTGATGATGATGTGGGTGTTGTGTGCTCTTTGTCATTCTGATTTCTTCCTTTTGTGTTTAATGCATCCAATTGATAGGTATTTTCTAGTCTTGACAATTTAGAACTGCCATAGCCAGGAGGTGGTGACACATACCTTTAATCCCAGCATGGGAGGCAGAGGCAGGTGAATCTCTGTGAGTTCAAGGCCAGCCTGGTCTACAAGAACTAGTTCCAGGACAAGTTCTAAAACTACAGCGAAACCTATCTCAAGAAACAAAACAAAACAAAAACCCAAAAAGCAATTTAGAACTGCCTAATTCAGCAGACCCACAAAAGAAAAAAAGAAAGAGCAGAAATGGGTTACTTGCAAAATAATTAGCCTCAGAAGCCATTCCTCAGTGGGTGAACTTGTGTTATTCTCATAAATGGAAAACTCCATCATTTGAACAATCCATTCATCTATAAGTACTGTAATTGTTAATGAAATGAAATGAATGAAATTTATGTCCTGCCAATGCTGAAGCATGCATGGGCAGCCCGTATGTGGCTTTTCTGTTGAACTTGTCCATATTGGATTTCATGGTCTAAGTTGTTGAGGACGACTGACCAAGTCTCTTCCTCAAGAGGACACCAGATCACATTACAGATGGTTGTGAGCCAACATGTGGGTGCTGGGAATTAAATTCAGGACCTTTGGAAGAGCAGGCAGTGCTGTTAACCACTGAGCCATCTCTCCAGCCCCAATATGGGCTATAATTATAGTCTGATACAATTTTGTTTTTAGCTTTTTTCTGGATATATATATATATAGTTTTAGGAGAGCATTTATTTATGTTTTGTACTTATCTTCAATAAAGATACTTTCTTCTGCTTTTCTGTTTTTTCCCTTAAAACGCATTACTGAATTGTTTTTAGCCATAGTGTATTTTCTATATTCTTATAAAATTGTGTACTACCTTACTATCTTTGAATGGAACACCATAATTCACTTAATGAATCTCTTGTTAGTAGCTGATTCTAACTTATTATAAATAATAAGCA